GGCGCGGGCCCCCCCTGCCACTCCAGAACCCCCCGGGCGAGGCTGGAGGGGCCGGTGCTGGCCCCAGCTGCAGTGCCGCAGGACCGCGGTGCCACCGGGACCACGACGGCCCCGGGAGCGAGAGCCGACCCCAAGGGGGTGCGCTGGCAGCGAGCACCCCCCTGCCTCCTTGGCTGCTTTTATCTGGGGGGGAAAGGCATGACCCAGAGGGATCTGTTACACATTAATGACGCATATTAGAGACTATTGTATTCTCCAGCAGTATCTGTTAATGTACTGTAATTGGTACTGACGAAGAAATGTTAATGCCACAGTATTAATTCGTGCTAGATTAAAATTTAATTTGAATTATCTGCACCATCGTATGTCAAGCTGTTGGCATTCCTCGGCTGCGCCGCACACCGGCTCCGTGCAGCCCTGAGTGCATCGCCCCGATGGCCCTGGCAGAGCGGTGGGCACCGGGGCAGGCAGATGCCCAGGATGGGCGCGGGCACAGCGGGACCTCAGCCAGCCTTCGCCGCTGAGATGCAGCGATGGTCCCTTATTGCCTCGCCGCCACCGAGGCAGCACCGATGAGCGAGGACTCACCAGCCGCGCAGGTAGGTGCCAGCTGCAGCACCCAGGGGAACGAAGCTCCCAAGAGCAACGCCGGCTGCTTCCAGCAGTCCCACTGGGAACCTTTTTCCCCCCCTTTTCCCACCTGCTTCCCCTCCCTTGCCCCTGCCGCGCTCCTCTGCTGCCAGCGGCCCCGTGCCCTGCTGCAGCCGAAGAATCGGGGACTTCATGGCACTCGGGGAGCTGCAGCTCTCCAGGGCACAGCGGGGCCAGGGACCCTGCATTCCCGGGCACCCTGCGACATCCCACTGCCAACGTACCTGGGCCAGGCAGTGCCACGAACGCCCCTGCGGCGCTCTGCCTGCTCCTGCTGCGGGGGTGAGGAGGGACCGGCAAAACTGGGGCAGGAAAAGGGGAGAAAAACAAAGGGCTTTGGACAAAAGCAAAAAGCAGCAGCAGACAAAGGGAGGAAGAAGAAAAGCAGAGTTAGAGCTCGATCCTGTGTTACCTGGAGGAGCCCTGAGGCTCCGGAGCCGGCCCTCCTGCAGAAATGCCACAGGATCACGGAGCGTCTGGCAATGCCAGCGGTCCCGGCCACCACAGCACCCTCAGCACGTCCTACCTGTGTCAGGCATCTGCCGGGGTCCCCTCCTCCCTCGTCCTCTTTCCACTCGAGTTTTCGGTGCCCAGGCTTTGCTCGTGCCTGGAAAGCCCTGAGGTGTGTCCGTGCACCCCGGGGGCTGGTTACAGACTTGGCGGCCCAAGGAGGGACGGGGAATTGGGACTGTGTGTGCCAGGCGGCACAGAGACCGATCCCCCCGTTCTGATTAACCTGTGATTATTGCTAGTGAGGGATGCGAACAGCTCTCCGAGGCTGAGCAGGTCTCTCCTCCCACACAGGTCTAACTCAGGCGGGTTAAGACCCTGAAGAGATTTCTGGTGGAGAAGAAAAATCACCTTCCAGCCGTTCCTTTCCTTGCCTTTAAAAATGACCTGGAAACGCCTTCAGGACAAGGCTTCTCAAAAAAGCCGATGACTTTTGGAAGAGAATCACTGCAAAACCCAGCACTGTGGCCGCCGCCGCTGCCCGAGCCAAGTGGGGGGAGACAGAAACCTCCCCCCATCCTCTCCCCCTGCTCCCTTTGTCCCTCTGAGCCCTGGGTTGTCCCCACCGTGAGTGTGGCAGACGTGGCATCGGCATCGAAACGAACCCCAGCAAAGCTCTGGACAGCGGTTCGTGGGCTACGAAACCACTCGAGGGATGAGAGCAGCACCTGCAGCCAGGCAGGAGCCCCTCAAAATAACGCAACAAGCCCAACCGTGAGCTCGGGGAGTGTTTTTAAAGAGAGTCACTCTTTGGTGCGCAGGAGCGATACCCCAGCTGCGCCCACGCGATGGGAGCAGGATGGCGACCCTGGCAGCCCTACCTGCCGCTGCTTCCCGTCCCACCGAGCACCCACTTCGCCGATCAGGATGGGTCGTGGGTGGTAGGGGTCCCTCTGCGGGTGTCAGGCTGAGCCGGTCATCGGCAGCGGTGGCGGTGGCAAGGCCACGCTGGCTGGTGGCCCCGTGGCGGTGCCCGGGGTGCCTGCCGGACTCGCCGCCCGCCGGCTCACACCCCGCTTTTATGGCCACGGAGTCTCCTCCTGTGGCGGGGGCCGGCCGCG